TTATTTTAGGTACTCTATGTGAACGTGTTTCTTCTTTCAATCTGCACAACACCTGGAACATTTAAATTGTTTCCCACATCTGGACCTAAAATGTATTTATTTTGAAAGTGAAAAAAATGTTATATATAAATGAAAAAAGTACTGATCTCTGTGCTTATTTTGCTTTCATCTGAAACAATAATGTTGCTACAGGCAATACTGTTTTGCATCATTGTAAATATATTGAAAGAGCAATACCATCTTTTAAAAAAATGTTAAATTTTCAACAGCGATGTCAGAAGCAATGGAAACTATGACAATCATTACATTTTGAACTAATTTTTGGACATTTCTTTGGCTACCTCGACCTTTGTTTCACCTTGCTTTCAGGCTGATGCCTCCCAAAATCAGACTATGTTCATACAATAGATTTGGCCTCAGCCTCCTCTGTTTGCTTGCCCAGTGAAATCACATGCCTGTGAATGGAAGGCATGGGATATGAAACTTTATGAACTATCAGCCATGTTTCATAGCTTTGGGTTCAGTCATAGTTGTTGCATAAATACAGGCTCATGCTGTTATGTTTTTGAGACATATTATATATTTATCTCTGTTTGATTTAAACCATGTACCCTAAACAATGATAAATACATTTTTGGGGATCAATAAATATGAACCAGAGCTTCTTTTTTGTGAACACTCTAGAAATATAATAAATAATAGAATCTATAATCCTGAAGGATGAAAATTTGGGGGATCAAGATGAGTTACTGTAATAAGTGCTGGGTTCATATTTCATGCCATGTCCTTATAACTCTTGGCAACAGCTGGTAATTACAGGAACTCTTCTCCAATCAGTTATTATCCAGTGTTGACAGTTGACCCTTACTTGTATTTGTTGCCAAGGGATTTAACAAATAGGTTCACCAAACAGATAGGAAACTCTAAAAAGAAAAGGAAGTATCTTAGGTTCTTGAGTTATATGGCACAATCTCCACTCGAATCCAGTGGCTGGTTTATGGCAGTGGCAAAGTTCCTAATGATCATGTGTCAACATTGCCATCTACTGCTCACTCCACATTCAAATGTCCGTCTCTATAGCCAAAGGCTGCAGACACTTCCTTTGGGTGAGAAACATGTTCCTGAGCCTTGGGTAATGATCGAACCCTAGCAGAATTAAAAGGTAATCACTTGTACTTTGGGAGCCACAGGGCAAAGGCAATGAGGGATCTGTTGTCAATGTGGACAATTAGGTGATAATTATATTTTATCGAATTTCACAAATTAGAAAATGTATTGGCTTATGGATTTTCTTTTGTATGTTTGGTTTTCTGCTGTATCCCCAGCATTTAGAACAGTGCCCGACGCATAGCAGTTTCTCAATAAATATTAATATTTAGGAATTAAGTGAATACTTAAAGAAGAAGCATGATTATTCTCATGAATTCACCACACTATTTAATGACTTCAATAAAAGGAATTATTGTGACATTTCTCTAGTAAATAATAATACCCCTATCTAGAATTGGTAGAGAGAGAAATGAATGTAAATGATAGGAAAATGGGAGGAAAGAGGGATTTCTTGATGATTTTAACCAGAAACATGATAAAAATATAGATGAGAAAAGAAATATGTTGATCTGGAAAACTTACTAACAACAGTCCATTCTGCAAACAAATTTGCATTCGTTCCTTTTTATTTTTCCAAAATCCAAAAAAGTAAAAAGTGTATTTTTAAAGTCATATATGTCACTTTTTACTCAGCAGACATTCAAGCTTTCCCACTCATTTATATATTATCTATGATATGAACATTGGTTGTTTTTTTTTTTGTTTGTTTTTGTTTTTGAGACAGAGTCTCACTTTGTTGCCCAGGCTAGAGTGAGTGCCGTGGCGTCAGCCTGGCTCACAGCAACCTCAATCTCTGGGGCTCAGCGATCCTACTGCCTCAGCCTTCTGAGTAGCTGGGACTACAGGCATGTGCCACCATGCCCGGCTAATTTTTTTTTTTTTGTATATATATTTTTAGTTGGTCTCGCGCAGGCTGGTTTCGAACTCCTGACCTTGAGCAATCCGCCCACCTCGGCCTCCCAAAGTGCTAGGATTACAGGCGTGAGCCACCACGCCCAGCCTGAACATTGGTTTTTATACTAGTATTTGACACAGAAATTGAAAAAGAATATTGGTCTAGCTTCAACAAATTTGGAACAAGATTTTGTTTGCTGAAATAATAATTCCATTTGTCAAGAGTAGAGCTGGTTTTTGAGGAAAGTACCTTTTTTTTTTAAGGGCCACCTTCATCTTTTAGTCCCACAGTGCTAATATCCAGACCTACATGTGTTGAGAAGGTTCTCCATGGGTCTCTGGTGTTCTTGACATCTTTACCGGTATGTCAAGAATGTGAGACCCTGATTCTTCTTCAGCTGGATTGTTTCTCAGTGTTGGGTCTGCAATGAACAACCTTTAGGGTTGAGGTCATGGCTCCCTCTGAGACAAAGTTCAGGCTTGCTTACTGCTTGCTGTCAAACAGCAGATTCCTCTAGCTTAGGGTTTTTCTTCTGAACGCCACCAGCTGCGGGTGCAGACTTCCATCTTGGCCCATCCACATCACCCGTGCGGGAATTGGGGCTGAGGAAGCTGATGTGGCATCTGACTACTGCTTTCCCTATGATAAAGCCTTTCAACTGCGACCCAGACGCCATGTGTCTTCTGCCAGCATCTATGACACTGTGATAATTTAACAAGTTAGCCTGAAAGTAGGGTAGAATCTCAGACCCCTCACAGTTCTTGGGAGCCTGGTTTTATTTAAGAATGGAAAGGTTCACAATTGGGAAACCCCAGTGCACTCAAGGCACAACAAAGTGAATTTTCAAAAGGAAAATTCAGTGCTTTGGAAGTAAGTAAGTGACGCAAATTGAAAATACCCCGTTCACTAGTATAAGCAAAAATTTTAGACCAGAAAAAAAAAAACAACTTAAGGAATTTTGAAATTGTATTAATTTTTACAATCAAGCCCTTTATTTAAACTAGGGTTACTTATGAGTACTATGCCAATGATTGGGTAAAGTGGTGAGATTTTCGGAAAATTTGAAAATTCTACAATATAATTCAAAAAGAAAAATATCATTTATAAGTCATAAGAGGAATTTCTTTTTTTAATGTGAATGGACTTACCCACTACATAATTTCATAATTTATTACTTCTTAATATTATAATATAGTGAAGAATTCATTTCAAGAGTCATGATTAAACTTCTACTTTCCAAACTCCAGTTTCTATTTTTGCTGAGGTAAAAGTACCCATCAGCTTTCATGCTGAATTCTTAGATTTTGACTTTGAAATTCTTTCCTTCATGCTTTGAAAAGAGAGAAAGAATTCAAACAGCTTTCTGAGTGTCACTTAGCTTAGAAAGTGCTACCCTATGGATAAATCCTAACTGAGCTTATTATAATCTGAATAGTTAGCATGCCATGGCATTCAAATGATGAAACAGGGAATCTAGGAATCACAAGTCTTTGGGGTAAAGAAACATGGATTTTCTTCTTAAGATCTGGCCTGAATTACAGTATGAATTTGAGAAAAAAGGAACCACTCTGTTTTTCTTCTCCTTTGATTTTTATTTTTACTTTTGCAAAAGATATTCCTCATGGCCCAGGAATAATGTTGGAAGAAAAATCTCCCTGGCAAAATACCAAATAATGAGAGCAGTGAAAGCGAGAGTAAGAAAATGAGAATGAAAGAAACTGCATTTTGCAAGATTATAAACTACAGGATTTGTACTAGAAGCATTGTGTTATAGCAACACGTTGCATAACTTTTTTTTTAGAAATAATATTAATTGACTTGCATGATGACCAACTCATTTTGTAGAGTGAACTTGTCAAGTAAATTTAAGTCTTTTATTCAAAAAGAAAACAGCTGAAAATTAACTAGCACCTAACATCTAATTAGTTCAATAGCTACAGTAATATGCTATATACGTTTCTTCTCTTAAAACAGAGAAATCCCAAACAACAAATAATTTAACAATAAATATTTCTTTATCTTTTTTACAATAATTCTAGCACCTCTATTTTGAAATTTTACAATTCATCCTTTTCAAAAAGTTTCTTATTAGTAAAGAAGTTCAAAATTAAGTCACTATTTTGATATATACCAGGACATTGTATTCAGAGTGATGTGATTTTAAGTCACAATGTACCTAACTTCCAGGGGTCTCCCCATCCATTTCCTGTCACGTTGTCCATTTTTAGTAATTTAAAGTATTAAACAATTCCAGTAAGGCAGTTTGAAGATATATATTATATTGAGAAAAGTGAAAAAATTTTCAAATAAGATCAACAGCCTCATATACTGAGCACTACTCAAGTGAAGTGAACAGGTGAACATTACCACTCAATGGAAACCACCTGCTCCAATCAATGTTTAATGAATCAACAAGGAGAAGCAGAGCACTTCTTGAACTCAAGAAGACCTGGAGAAGGTCCAAAGCAAGATTCCCCTTATGCTGACTTAAAAAGGAAAGACCCAGGCGGAGCAATCAGGCTCAGGCACTGTTTCTAACCTATGGTTTGCATGCAGAAGGCTTGCAGTATTCATGTATTTTTTGCATGACAAATGAAGGAGCATTTACAAAAAGAACAAAGGCATTTTGATTAAAATTTTAAGATTTTTTAGAACTTTGATATATTTATAATTCTCTTCCGCTGTGAGAAATACTTACAATGTAGGCACAAGGGTCCTCCCAAATAGATCAATGGCAATTAATAAAACTTAATAATACCCTCATTAGATTTTTTTTAAGTAACCCTTTGCACATGAAAGCATAGAGTCTCTTACTTTCGAGAACGGAATCATGGCCACAGTAGGAATATATTTTAAAAGCTTGTCTTTGCTGCTATCAATTTTAAAATTCTACATGGAGTTTTGACCTCTGCGATGCACGCCAGCCTGTTGAAACAAAGAGTCCCCTACTGGTCTGCCTGGTTACCTAAAATTATCAACTTGACCTCACACTGACCTTGTTAGCACTGTTAAAAAAATCATTCGCCTTTTTTAACCAGGTATTCCTTTCCACCGTGAGTTGATCAAATTCTTTCTGAAGTCGGTTCAGTTTCTGATTAGAGAGTTGCAGATGTTCTTTCTCCACATGGTCCTTTGACAGCAAGATTCCCAGTGCCTCACTCTTCAGCTTCTCAATGGCAGAGTTCCATTCCTACAAGAGATCATTCCTTTAGTTAATTTTACACATCTCCCCTGTATGGGCTAATGTTTGTGTCCCCCTCAAATTCCCATGTTGAAATCTAACCTCCAATGTGATGGTATTAGGGGGTAGAGCCTTTGAGAGGTGAGTAGTGCCCTGCTAATCACATGGGATTCACACGCTTATAAAACAGGCCCTCCTGAGAGAGCTGCTTGCACCTTTGATCATGTGAGGACACAGTGAGAAGTCAGCAGTCCGCAACTCAGAAGAGAGCCCTTACTGCAACCAGACCATGCTGACTCCTCACCTACAGAACAGTGAGAAATAAATTTCTATTGTTTATAAACTTCCCAGTCTGTGTCACTTTGTTATAGCAGCTCGAACTAACTAAGACATCCTCCTTTGTAATCTCTGATAAGATTCAGGGAACATTTAGAGGGGTTGGATGCATCAGAAATCTGTCAGATTTTCAAATCATAAAAGTATAGTAAATACTGTAGTAGTAAATGCTACACTACAGGTTTGAGTACCAAGATGTTTACATAATAGGAAATGATGCAGAAAACAAGCAAAACAAAAGAAAGAGAAAGAAAGAAAGAGAAAGAAAGAAAGAAAGAAAGAAAGAAAGAAAGAAAGAAAGAAAGAAAGAAAGAAAGAAAGAAAGAAAGAAAGAAAAGAAGAGAAGATGACAGAAGAAAGAGGTAGGGAGTTGGGATGAGTGACTGACAGATCACCCAGCTGACCTGAACATAGATCACTTCCATTTCTGTTAACTCTATCTGGAAATGCACCTCAAATACAGTCAATGGTGTTTTTAAATCTCTAACTCATTTTGTCCTCTTTTTAATCACATAAGTATAAAAAAGTATCTCTCCCACAATTCAGCCTTATAGTCAGTCTAGGCAAATATGTACAAGAAAAGGAAGAGAAATCGTATATATCATGACTGTTGTTTTTGTGTCTGCCTACATTTAGCATTGAAATTAAGTCCTGTTATTCATTACAAAATTAATAGCTGTTATTGTTTAGTATTTCCTCCTTCCTGACCTCAGTTCTGCCTCTTGAGGAGCTTCACTCTTAATGGTACACAAACATTTCAGAAAATGAAAAGAGGTAGTCTTTTACTTAATGTTCATGAGGATGAAAAAACGTAAGTAGAGAAGAAAGAAAATAAGAGTTGGAGTAAAGCAACATATTAACATTCAATTTATTTGAAGGGAAATTTAAGTTTCTTAAAAAAGGACTGAAGCATGATCCAGTTTCATAAAATAATGGTTATCTCTAACATGTCTGTCTTGTTAGTGAATCTGCTGGTACCCATCTCAACTGAGATTGCATGATAGCACAGGCTATTTGTTCAAGCGTGGGAAATTTAGCACCAGATTTTAAACATCTCAGTCTGACTCCATCCTGCTTTGTTCCCTCAGTGAAAAGTGTCCTCTTATTAAGTTACATTTATTATACTACATTGTATAAAATAAGTACAATTTTAGTGCAATTTACCATTACTGTTTCCATTCATTCATTTCACATGACACACTAAACACGATGTACCTGGCACTATGCTAGGATAGATGTCTTGGGGAATATAAAGAAAGAATAAAATGTAGTTCTTTCCCTTAACAGCACATAAATTGTTATTTTATATAACTTTCATATGTACTTACTTTATGAAATACATGGAATAAATGCTGTTTCTATAAACATGCATACAAAGACAATATAGTAGATTTTAAACAACAATTAGTGAGTGTCAAAGGGAGAAATTGTACATATTATTTTGTGGTGCACATAGAACCCATTCTAGTATTTGGACAAAAGAAAAATATTTTGAACAATGGTTACAGGAGTAAGCAAGGTGGATTCAAGGATTTGGCTTGTTTTGGAGTACCTTTTATAAAATTGTGGGTTGTAACTATAATCCTCAAAAACCCTCAAATTAGACATTATTTTTTTCAATATTTACATAGGATCAGAAGAGTATGTAACATATCTGATAAGTGGCAGTACCAGAACTGGTTCAAAGGTCTGCATATCATACTAACTTCCAGAAAATTGAAACTAAATTCCAAAATCTTCAGATTGTTCAGTGAGTGCAAAAGCAGTACTCTTAGGCTTCTTCAAATCCCTCATTTTTAAAACAGCGTAAGTGTCTCCCTCTAAGGAAAACTAATATGTGCTATGATGTTCTTTCATAAAGCACTGTAACCACCTCCTCCATACACGTATGCTTAAAAACAATTACTTTAACTTATTGGGAATAGCAAATATTTTTAAAACAGTACCATTTCTGGCACTTATAATAAGCACTCACTAAATGTTAGTCCCACCTTTCTTCCCTTCAGTTTTGTTATGGTTCATTAGCACCCCAAAATTTCTTCTTTACTTATGTCATTTCTGTTTCCCAGTTTTAAAATAATGGTAGCAAAATGTTTCCCAAAATGTTATTGATTAGCATTATGTATTGATCAGCATTATGAGATAAACAAGGTAAAACAGGTTTCTTTACCACAGTACTTCTCAGAATCTTTAATTTATTAATGTGCATTGAGACTCTTCTAAAGGGAAATGTGATGTGAAATATTTTGGACAAAACGGTTTGACCAAAAAAACTGTTTGCTAATCATCTCAGGGGACCGATGCTCCAGTTGCAATGATACTGGAAGAAAACATTCCGTGTCTAAGGGCAGCGGAATCACCTACTGAGTTCACCTGCTTTCAATAGCCTTTGTTTCTTTCCTGTTTTATTTTTTCCCTATTCCTCTAGCTACTCAATTAGTCCACTTTCTCTCTTTGTACCATGCTTTCTTCTTTTGTCTGTAAGATCTGCATGTCATTAATTCTCAATGAACTCAGGTGGAGAGATGCTCAACACGTAAAGACACAGAATAAAGCAGGTAATTCTTTTTTTTTTAAAATTGGCATTGGCCAGAACCTTCTCTGCTTATTAGAGAAAGACCACCTAACAAATATAGAGAACTCGGCGGGGGGCAGGAGGTTGGGAGAAGGGCTAGAAAGATAGGGGCAAAGAAGATGTGGGAGAAGTTAGAATATAGAGAAGTGGGTTTCAGCCACTGTGGACTCAGCTTGACAACAACAAGTTCTAGGATGTATTGTTCAAGACAGTAAGGGTAGATTTTCTTTGTGTGTGTTAGCTCTGTGCTAAATGCTTTTCATGTATTTTTTTATTTCATCTTCACCATACCTCTGTGAAGTAGGAACTATTACTATCTTCATTTTACAGCAGTAACTGGGACCCAGAGGGATTACAAACTTGCCTAAGGTCTCAGCATTAGTAAGTGAAGGAGCTAGAATTCAAACTCAGGGATTTTGACTCTAGGTCCTACTCTCTTCACCAGTACCCCAACCCCAGCTATTTGTAGAGTGATATACTGTTTTTCCAATCACAGAAAGATTAACCATTAGTTAATTATTTCAGGGAAAACTTCCATATGCCCCAAATAAGGCCTTGGAGATGACAAAAGTTTTATATGACCCTGGGATTTTCTGATTTTCAATCAGAAGCCTCACAATTTAAAAATAAACACAATACTATTACAGACATAATTGGAAATTTACAGTCCAAACTCAGACTTATTTTTCTTAGCTATTGGACAAAAATAATGAAGCACTTTTCTATGAGAAATACCTGTTCTGTAACAATGTTCATAAATCTGCCTTCAGTATAAATTTTACAAACAACATTAAAGAGACTTTTGGAGCAAAGCCAAGCCTTTGAAAACACGCTTTAACCTTGTGCTTCACGTCATGCTATGAAAAGTGGGCTGTGACCTTCCAAAGAAGCTGTAAAGAACCATTTTGTGCCTCTTATCTTTTTTTTTTTTATTCTCCATCCCCAGTCTTCTTAATTACATTTCCACATGAACACTGTGGGTAGTAAATGAAGCTGGGCCCATTCAATATTTCTATTCAATCTTCTCAGAAAATTGGTTCTGTTTTCTTTGAGCAATCTATAGGCGGTTTCTGATGCATTTCTATACCATTCTGATGATGTATTTCCCCAGCCTTTTTTCACAGGAGATGCTTTCACTATTTTATTTTTGAGATAAAACTTTCCAGAGTCATCTGAATCCATCACACTATTTAAAAAATATAGTTGTCACCCTTGTCAAGGCCAGAGAAGCCCAATGGAGAAAATCTTAGTCCATTTTCTCTAAGCCGGTGCTGCCCGCCTGCTAAGTGTTAAACCTCTAACAGAGGTTCAGTCACTTTGCAATAAAATATTTCCAGTATTTGTCCCTACCAGCAGAAAGCCAAAGCCTGCCATTTCCTTGGCTTTTCAATCTGACAGAGACGTGTGCATATCTCTGACCCAATAAAGACGTGGGGCACTGTGTGTTCCTGGGCTCAGGGGGTCTCCACAGGTCGTTCCATTATTTTCATTTTTCACTCACAGTAGGAACCTTTTTAACTGCACCTTTCAGTATTCCATTTGCTGAGGAAATTGAGCTTCTCTTGGATTCCTTGATTGAAAGGGTACTTTTAAGCGGATTAGTGCTGATAGATAAGAAGGTGGAAAAGATTTCTTCTTTCCTTTTTTTTTTTTTTTCAGTCCCAGGTTAGCTCTTTATATGAAGTTATAGATTGGCATAAAAATTATCCAGCAAGTAGATTCAAAAAGTAAAATGTTAGCTACTCCAATTGAAAAGAAAAAAAATAACAATCACAGTATATTAGCAAGCTTTTATCCATATAACGACTTCCTTGTACATGAGGGGATTTAATGATCCAACACCATGCAGTAAATTTTCATGACGAGCTTGACTTCAGAATGTAATTTTTAAGTGGAAGAAAGATGGACAAGAAACAATAGGGGATGTATTTGTAAACTACTAAAAAATATCAGTGGTGGAGATCATTGACCAAAATCAGATCTGGCATAAGCATGTGTTGGGTTTATGTATAGTCCCTGAAGCATGGCTAATTCCTAGGCCATCTCATTAGACACAGCCCATTTCTTACTTAATCCCTAAATCTACAATCCCATTTGG